GCCTGGCCCCGGCCCGCCCCGCCCGCGCCCCGGGGCTCCCCCAGGGGCACGGGGACGCGGAGCATCACAGCCGCTGCCCCTGCTCCCGCAGAGTCGCCCACCGCCAAGCCCAAGAGCTGCAGCCAGGACAAGAACGAGTTCCTGTGCGAGAACAAGAAGTGCATCAGCGCCAACCTCCGCTGCAACTTCTTCGACGACTGCGGCGATGGCTCCGATGAGGAATTCTGCTCCCACGGTGGGTGGAAGGGCTGGGGGGGTCAGCGGGGGGGCGTCCAAGGGTGGGTGCAGGTGCTAACGGGGCGTCCCACCCCAGACCACAAGTCGTACGACTGCATGACCAACACCACCATGTGCGGAGATGAGGCCCAGTGCATCCAGTCGCGGTCCACCTCGTACTGCACGTGCCGCAGAGGCTTCCAGAAGGTGCCAGACAAGAATTCCTGCCAAGGTACTTCCTGCTGCTGCCAGAGAGGGCTTGGTGACGGGCCCTCAGGTCTACGGTTGGTCTTTGCCAGTAAGATGAGTCTTCACATGGCTGGGAGGCATCAGAAGTGGGGTCCTTGGGGCACAAAAATGGGGAAGATGGGGTCTCCAAGCCCTGGGTAGCACAGAGCAGCCCCCGTGGAGGGTCCAGCCCCGGCCATGTGCATGGGGGCACCCTCCCGGTGATCGATCTCCTGCTGCCTTGACGCCGATCTCCTGCTGCCCAGATATCAACGAGTGCCTACGCTTTGGGACCTGCTCCCAGCTCTGCAACAACACCAAGGGCTCCCACGTCTGCAGCTGCGCCAAGAACTTCATGAAGACGGACAACATGTGCAAGGCGGAAGGTCAGGAGGGGACGGGGGCGTCCGCAGATCCTGCGTGGGCCTGTGCCACCCCACAGGACCTCCCTGCTCCTCCTCCCCGCACCCCTGCCCACCCGTCCTTCTGGCACCGCCGAGGGCGGGCGCCGGGCTCTGCCGTGCCGTCAGTCTGTCCTTCCCTGGCGGAGCAAGCCCCCAGGGGTGCCAAGCTCCCAGCGACCCCATCCCCTGCCCCACCGTGGAGCTGGGCTGACCCCCCCCCCGGCTCCCAGCTCATACCAACAGCTTCTCCTCCGCAGGCTCCGAGCACCAAATCCTCTACATCGCGGACGACAACAAGATCCGGAGCATGTACCCCTTCAACCCCAACTCGGCCTACGAGCCGGCCTTCCAGGGCGATGAGAACGTGCGCATCGACGCCATGGACATCTACGTCAAGGGCAACAAGATCTACTGGACGAACTGGCACACGGGCAAGATCTCGTACCGGGAGCTGCCCGCCTCTTCCGCCGCCTCCACGGCCTCCAACCGCAACCGGCGCCAGATCGATGGCGGCGTCACCCACCTGAACGTGAGCTCTGGCAGGGGCACAGCGGGCGGCACTGAGGCCGGGCTGCCAGCGTCCTCTGCCCTCACCGCTGCCCCCTTTCTGCCCTCCCCAGATCTCAGGGCTGAAGATGCCGCGGGGAATTGCCATCGACTGGGTTGCTGGGAATGTCTACTGGACAGACTCGGGGCGGGATGTCATTGAGGTGGCACAGATGAAAGGCGAGAATCGCAAGACGCTCATCTCGGGCATGATTGATGAGCCCCACGCCATCGTAGTGGACCCGCTTAGGGGGTGAGAGCCCTTTCTCCCTTCCCTTGTCCAACCCTCACCCTGGCTCCTCTCGCCAACGGACCCAACCGTGGTGGAAGCTCCCCGTGCCCCGGCGTCACTCTCCGGGTCAGCTTGAGTTGCTGTGCCTTGGAGCCAGCTGGCCCCTTGGGGTCACACCAGTCGGCTGGCCCCTTGGGGTCACACCAGTGACCTCAGGACGCTGTGGGGGAGAACATGGGAGGATTTCTCTGCCAACGAGGCATTGGACCGTCCTGCTCTTCCCCTCCTCGCTCCCCCGCCGGGAATGACCTGCCCGTGTCCTTTGCAGGACTATGTACTGGTCAGACTGGGGCAATCACCCCAAGATCGAGACGGCGGCTATGGATGGAACGCTGCGCGAGACCCTGGTGCAGGACAACATCCAGTGGCCAACAGGTGAACGGAGAGAGGCACCGGGGGGGGGATGAGGGGGGGCAAAGCCTTGACGGGGGGGACAAACAGCCCCCCCATGCTGTG